CCGAAAAGTACAAAATAACCCCAAACCAACCCCCAAAACCCCCAAAATACCAAAGGCCCAAACACTGAAAAAAAAATGAAAAAAGCCAAAATAATATTCAGCCCAACAAACCAACTTGGACTATTAGAAACATTTTGAGGTACTTGAAAACTTGTGCTTTAGCTTCAACTTTTTAATACATGTTTTGCAATAAATGATTTCTTTGAAAAGCTGTTTCAACCCAAAAGAACAGTTCTAGGACTGTTTACTCATGCGTACATGTAAGCATATAAGAACTTCTCAATAATTTTTCAGCAATTTCCCAGCTCAGAAGACAGCTGTTGAAAAAAACCTCAAACAACCCAAATGTGCTTTTTAATTTTTTTTTTTTATTTTTTTCCCCCAGTGTTGTCAAAGCAGCCTTTTTTTATTACTTTTTATTTTTTTTATTTTCTTTATTTATTTCAGTATAGAAACTGTTTTGGAAAATTCCTGCTAAGGTGCAGTTGGTGACTTGGCTGTGTCAGTAGGTTTATGGGCCAGTACTCCAGCTCTCCAGCTGGTATTTGATCCTGCTTGGTTTATGTTAGGGCTCATATGATTGCTAAGCTAGGATGTTTACTGTCAGTAGGATCAGTGCTAGGGCTGGTTGTGCTTCTGTGTTGGACTGTTGGGGCTGATCCTGTTGCCAGAAGTGTTTGTTGTCTCAGTTGATAACGCAGTAGTTTCCTGAAGTATAGGGGAGTAATTAAGCCAAAGGACTTCTCCATCTCCCTTTACAGTCCCACCTGGCCCAGTCTTGGGGACTGCTCAGGACTCAGCAATCACACCACTTTTAGCAAGAAGACTCTGCATGAAGGTGACCACCTGCTCCTCCAGCAGGAGAGATGGAAATATGGGGGCATCCCAGGTACACCCCCTAGTCCTGGCAAGAGTATGGTCATTCTCCTCCCCAGTGAAACACGGGAAGCCCAGGGGAAAATGGAATTCCCTTGAGGGAGACCCTGAAAGTAACAAGACGCATGGACTGACAGGTAGGAGGTGCAAAGGCCAGTTCAAGGGCACTGGTTAGATCATGTCCAGACACTTCAGTAAATATGAAGACTACATCTGTAATTACATATAGACATGTAGACATACCTAGATACATCTTTCCATAGACATACATCCATGGATGGATGTATTACCAACAATAATACTGTTTTCAATTATAATGCAGTATGATGTTTTCCTTTAATTTCTTTCTGACTTCTCTTTTTGGAAAGTTCATGAAGCCACAGCCAGTTTTGGCATGGAATAATTCTGAAATATTTTCATCCACGTTCCTTGGGAAGGGACACAGCATCAGGAGACCTGATCCAGGCAGGCAGCACTTGCCAGCAGAAGCCAATTCTGCCAACAGTCTTTCAGCAATCTCAGGGCAATCAAAGAAAGGGTCTCTCTTGGGCCATATCCAGTTTGCATCCTTTGCAGCTTATAAGCGCTGGGAATAGAAAGAAGGATCCCTGTTTATCTCAGAACCTGTCTGCTACCTGTGGCCTGTCAGTGTAAGGAAGATCCTGAATAAGGCCACCTTAGCTCACCTGAAATGCCTCATGATGATGATAATACTTGCACTCTTGCCATAAAAAGCAGGGGGCCATTTTTGTGTGCTCTGAATCCTTCCATTCCCTATGCCAGTTTTAAGCAGCTGGAGAGGCAGCTGTTAGAAATGAGGTTTCGACACTGAATGCCAGTGGGCAGGAGTGTAAATACACCAGGGAGATCCAGGACAAGGGAGTTCAACCCAGTGTAGGGAAGAGCCTGTCAGGTAGCTTGGCTTTGATGAATCCTGGCTTATCAAAGCCTATCTCCAGCTACAAATGCATTTTATTTTTTGCTGGAGTTCAACTTCTTCCCATTACTAGCAGAACTTCAAAGATTGTCCCTAGTTCTCACAAAGTTTTCCTTTTTCTGTCTTTCGAAGTACCCTAGGTCTCAATTTATTCCATATGGACTTTGACATGAGAAAATACTTACCTTTTAGCACTGCAAGCTGCTTCCCCAAAGCCTTGAGTTAAATCTGCTTTAATGAAAACACAGAGATTTAGGCAACTGGGACATAAATGATTTCTCTTCTGCACTATTGAAATGTTGCTTTCTAAGTATGTTCAATAGTGCATTAGAAACAAGTCTCTAATTAGCCATAGAGTACCGAAGACCTGACTATCTAATGTGAAAAATCAACATCATGAAAACTTTGAGAATATCAAAAAGAAACAAGGGAAGACCACAGGTCATTTTCAGCCATTCCCTACCCACTTAAACCCCATAATTGCAATATTATCTTTAACATCAGGGGACAGTGGTGAATGTAAAATCATTGTAAGACCAGAATAATCATCCTAAAGAAAAATAAATTAATCATTGACCTCTGTTGTTATAATGATCATTTCACAAAAAAAACCCACACTTAAGTTCAATTTACTCAAATGTTCCATGTTCTTTCTATCTCCTATAAGGCTCTGAAGCAGAGTTTCTTTAATAAAAATGACTGATGTACACCAGTTGCTCCAAATTACGCATTCACATGTAGCCACTAGAGCCCATGTAACCTGTCATGTACAATATCAACAGCTTCTGATACTGCTTTTCAGTGAGACAGAGGTTCAAAAAGAGTATATAATTATAGTGCAACAGACAATAAGAGAAACTGAGGAGAAATGTAAAACCATCACTGATAAGACTTTGGAGAGTACATAGAGTCTGCAGGGCTAGTTACTAATGAAAAAGTCAAGTTACATCAAGTTACACACCTGGTAACATCCCCCAGGTGGAATGGGCACAGGGAATGAAAAAGCCCTGATGTTTTCTGGATGGTGACAAGCAGATGATCTTCCAGTGCTGCTGGACTGGGTGCTGGCACCGCATTCCCAGGGTCCTCCAGACAGACTGCTGCCCTTGCACAGTGAGGAGAGGTGGGAATGATCACAGGAGTCCTGGGCCAAAGGTGTTTCTGTCCAGCTTCCTACTCCCTTTCATTAGGAGGGGAAGGAATTGGCATGAAGCCCTGCATCCAGTCATCCCTTAGATTTTTTAAACTATGTACCACACACATGCACACACAAACATACACTTCCACATTGTGAACTTTTTCTGCTGTTATAACTGTAGAAAAGTTACAATGAGACATAACTGCAATGAAAAAGCTGGCTAGAAGTCATTCCGGTATTGTAAACCAAGTCTCATTTATTTTGTTTGTTAATTAATAAATAATTACTTATTCCCAAATACAGTTGCATTGGTGGAACATATTGATGACAAACATTTTCTTTACAGATGACTTAGGAAGGCACCGAACACCCAATGAGGAACTGACGAAAATCCACCCATATCACACGTTTCAATTAAACTGCACTCTCTAAAACATTTTGTATGAGGAAATCTGTGCTCTTGGGAAAGAGCCACGGCTGCAGGGTGGCAGTCCAAGTCTGCTGTGTGACAACTGGACTGGAAGGTGTTGCAGTTGCCCCAGAAGGAGAAGGAGATTCACAGGGAGGTGGTTCTGGCCCTAGAGCCAAAGAGTAGGTAAGCCAGGTTTGGTCTTAGTCACACCTTCCAAGCAAGAACCACCACTGTAAACGAGCCTCAGGGCACCAAGAAATGCAACATCTGAAAAAGGCCACATGCAGGAAAAGGGAACTATGAAACCAATGGCCTACTGTTCCCTTCAGCCTGCTGTGCTTCTATGCATGCAAAGAGCCTGCTGTATTCTTTAGTCCTAAGCACCGTCTGCTGGCAAGGCAGAATTCAGCTTAGTTTGCCTCAGCACCTCTTTAACATATGATTTAATGTCACTGTTGTTTGCATCATGAAATAGGGCTTTCCTACAACTGATTTCATGACTATTGCACATTTCCCATAGTCCCCACCCAAAGAAAGAACTCAGTTCACAGCTATCCTTTTGCCGAGCACTGACTTCTTCCATCATGGTTTCCCACAGCAGCAATGAAAAAAAAACCAAACCAACAAATACAAAAGAAAAGGGCATGAAAGAAAAATATTTGTGATTTGAAACGTTGTCATTTGGCTTTCTTTTAATGCACAAACTTTTTGTGCTCATCATCACAGGCATTACTGCTGTTATACTGATATGCAAATTGTAATTTTATAGGCGTATTTTATATATATAATATTTATATGTCTCTATAGAGTTGTTTATGGGTGTGCATGTGTGTGTTTGTGGACACACATACTCACGTGGCCTAGCAACAAGTTGGGCATCAGTACGGTCTAGGCCAGAGACAGGTTTGCTGAGGAGTTCATGCTCAAACAGATTCAGTACCAGGCTGGAACCTGGAGCAGCACTTATTCATTCCCTGTGGCAAAGTGCTCTAGAGAAAGCTTGGAGTACATGGTGAGAACCACTTTCGTATTTGTTTTCAGAATTTCCCAGTTCCATTTGTTTCATTTAGCTACAAATTCTCCAGGTCAAAACTCCCTCTGGGACATGTACATGTCTAGATGAATGCACATGTGAATGTGAATGCAGCTCTCTTAAGCTAGCAGAAAAATTAGGCAAAATAACAAAGTCCTACTTGAAATGTATTTGGTGTTCAAGTTAGGATTGGCTCCTTTTCAGATTCCCACAGTTTACCTTCACAGTAGAGTAAAAAATATATTCTGCTTTCCTTGCATGCCTAGAATTAGTATATTGGAGGATCCTGTTCTCCACAGTAAGAATTTAAGAAGACCCTCAAAAAAAGGGTGCAGAAGTGTGTACATTTAGAAAACAAACATCGGTTAACCAAGCAAAAGGGATTTTGTTTATCAAAATAAAATTGATTTTATATCTGTGCACTGATGCTTTGTATCCACAGTCTCCCCTTGGAAAGCAAGCTTTTATCCTGTCCTCTGAGACCCTGCCTGCTTCTTGACTTGTGGCTCTTAAAGGCATTTAAATTTGTAATTCAGTTTTGATTGCCTACCAAACAAAGAAACAAAAGGCTTTTCCACTCAGCCAGGCTTTCAGATGACATAGATTCTGTCCAAATATACCATGGAATACCTTAATAGATGTATTTATCTATGTTTTAACATAGAGATGGCATTCTGCTCAGAACTGGAAAAGACATTATGCTTTATACACTGACAGCAACAGATATGTGCAACATGAATGGCACCAAGTCAGTTTAGCAAAGTATTTGTGACCAAAATAAAAGGCAAAATATTCTTAATTTCCCTTAATTTAACAACTTGAAAATTATTTCTTGTTCCTAAAGCACTCTTGATTTTAAAATTATTTTTTAATTCTTTCAAAATGAGCTCTTTCCCAGGAGAGACTGCATTTTTTGAGTTCCAAGTCAAATTTGTTTTAAAATTTTGATGTTTGCAGAATAGGAGCACAGGATAATTCAGGCTACAAGAGATCTCTAAGATGTCTCTGAATGAACCTCCTGACCAAGGAGTCAGTTCTGAGGCCAGCCCAGGTTGTTCATGGCTTTATCCAGTCAGATGTTCAAAATTTTAAAGGGTGAAAACTGAACAATGAATGCTTATTCAAATATGGGCATTTAGCTGAATATGCTCAAAACCCAAACCAAACTAGTATTAACTTCTCTACTTCTACCCCACATCTTTGCTGCAACCCTCCCTGATGAATCACAAAATGGCAAATCTGGCACAACTCTGCATAAAAGGGGAAATGAACCTTAGAAAATCGTGAAAGGCCAAATCAAATCCCAACTGAAACCAGTGAAGAGATGCCCTTTGTGTTTGACTAGCTGCTTTAACGGAAATGTTTTAGCAAATAGCACCTACAAAAGGAGATGTCAGATGGGATCAGGACAGGTTCTGAGCACATGGCTGTAGTCAGAGATAGAGGAAGGCTGGGAGCTGAGCTCAGGTTCGGGAAGGAGTCAAACCACCAAGTGTTGGCCTGTGTCCTTGAGAGCAGCCTCGATCCTGGGAAATTAAGGATTTACTGAAGAAAACCTCTATCATAAATATTAAAACTGGAAGAGTAGAGCAGTGTCTGTGTCCTGTCTTCACGCTGGATTTATTAACAAAAGCCCTGATTCTTCCCTCTATTTTCAAGAAGTCAAGAATTGCTTCACTGAAAAGAGTCTTTTGAAAATAGCCTCAGATGTGAATCAGGCTGAAAGTCACTGGTATAATTCTTCATTAAAGCTCCTGCACTTCAGTTTTAATTGGGGGAAAACAATATGAAAATGAGACAGAAAAAATAAACCAGTACTCCAAATATGGACATTTTTAAGCAGGCACATTACATTCAATTTTTCCTTCTTTTCACCAAGGTTCTATCATTATCTATGATGATAAAAAAGAGCTTATGAAAGGATGAGTGATATTTTGATACAGATTTTTCAAAGAAAAGTGATAATTCAAAGAAACACTTTTCTAGAAATTAATACTTCAGATGTTTTGTGTCTTTTTTTTTTTTTTTGAATCACAGAATTCAGAAGACCGAAATTATTTACATTTTTCAGATTTTAAATGTTAGCACTCTATTTCAGTGGGAGCCTGAAAACAAAACAAAACAAAACTATATATATAATAATATAATATAATAAGCAAAGGTCTTCTCATCCTAACGAGAAATTAAATACTGTTAAGGGATTTCATTCAAACCTTGCCCCTTACCATAATATTTCAGGCCGAGTACTAAGATGAGTTGAAGTTTTAAGTTGTATTATAAATAACCCCTGACTCTAGGGGAACTTCTTTGAAGATTATGAAGAAATACAAAGAATTCAGCAGCATGTTAGTGGGCACTGCAAGAGTATATTGAGAAGTTTAGAGCAGCTGCAACTGTATTCTGGTTGTTTAAAAGTTTTTTGACATGGCTGTTGTATTGCGCATCCAGTATACAATCTTCTTGTCAATAACATCTGGGCAATCAATGTGTGCAAAAAATGAATCTTGTGTTTATGGCATATTTGTAGCCATATGTTTTCTACCTGTCAATATAGTTCAAAGGCAGTGAGTGAGGAAAGTTCAGTAGATGAGGCATCTGTCCTAGGTCTCACAGGGTGCACAGGATGGTCTTACAGGTTATATTTTGTGTCGTATATCATGCAACACATCTGAACAAAAGGACACTTGCTTTGGCAATGCCAGTCACCATAATGGCAAAGCAGCAGCAGCAGCAAGCAGTGGCTTCATACTGTCGTATTTATTTGTTTAGATGGCATTGCCCTTTCATCTCACTGATAATTTGGTGCTTACTCAATTTCACTGTTCAGTGTGATCATCACCTCACATCTTTCAATGTGGTCAGCTTTCATTTTTCTTCCCACCCAAACCACAATGAGATTCAGACATAAAGTGTTGTACAAACATCAAATCTGCATGTGCTTTTGTGTGCATGTGTCTGTCCAAACAGTTCTTAACACTATCATCTGGCATATTTTGTTACTTCAGTTTTCAAGATACTCCTTCAGCAGCAAAATCATCTAAATCTGTGATAGACACTATATCAGTATTTGGTGTCGGGCTCATGTCCTTTCCTAAGTGAACTTTAGTTTCTTGAATGTCTTGACTGGATGAGGAAGAGGCTGGTTCAATATAGGGCTGAGTATCCACAGCTTCAGAGTATCTGCAGACCTGCTGACCATCTTCATGTAGTTCAGCTGGTTCTCCTGGTGCAGCTAGCATTAACCAGGTAGGTTCAGAGATCTGAGAAGGTGACTTCAGCACTGCTACAGACGAAGCTGGTAAAGGCAGCACTCTAGGGTAGGAGACATAGGGAGAATTCATAATTTCTGAAGAGGAGGGTTCTTCTAAGTTCCCTTCTGAAGAAGGGACTGAGACTTGAACATATTTGCCAGTTTCAGGGTCATAAAATGTCTTTACATTAACTTCAGCTGGTAAATCAACTACATAGTATTGACCAGAGTCAGGGTCCTGGAGGAGTTTACGTTGGATTAAAGAGGGTGAAGGGCTTACTGCTATTGCACAACTGGGTCTTCCTGTACTGGTTTCTGCGGGAGTAAAAGTTGAGTGAGGGGCAGGGTGGAGAGGAGAATATCCCAGGGCTGAGACAGATGCTAGTGTCTGTCCAGAATGAGAAGACTTTCTCCCTACAGCATCTGTATGCTCAGTCTGATGTTTTTTCTGCTGCTCATGCATTTTTTGTCTCCTGTTTGCCAGCTTTTTGGCCCGCCGCAGAGCTTTTTCTGTTTTCGGTGGCACAGCGGGAGGCTTGCCTGCTGCTCTCTCCCTAGGGTCCCTGGGCTCCAGTCCCTCAGCTTCCCCTGCAGAACCAGAAAGCAGATTTCTCTGTGCTGAATCAAGTATCTCTCCTGCAGCCATGTCAGCTTGGCTCTTTAGTGCCATGCTCAGCAAAGCAGGGTTTATAACATCCTCTGTCTCTCTAAGGCCTGAAATTGTTGGTTTGTCTGACAATGAACTGGCAGTTAAAGAGTGCATTGTGCTGCCTGACCTGGGGCTTGCAGCAGCAGAGCATGCAAGATTATCTAACAAAACTGGTGCACCTTCTGTATGTAGGATGTCCTCTAAAGCTTCATGGGATACAGGAGAATAAGAGTGGTCCTCTGATATGGAGTCAGTCACTGGGGAAATTGTCTCCCTAGTGATTATTTTTTTCGCACAAGATCCACCCCTGCGATTAGATAGGTGATGATTCTTGAAGTAATTTGTCTTTCTTTCTGTGGGATAGCTGGTGCTGTTTTGTTCTTGGTAATTTTCCAGACCTAAATTTGGATGTGTTAAGCTGTGTCTTGCCTTCCTAGACTGGGTCCTCTCTTTCCTTCTGCAGACACTTTCCTCATTCATTTTCCCAACTTTATTTAACAAAGCACAAGTCTCTTTATCTTCTTCCATCATCTTCCCTAACAAAAGGTTCTCTGTATCTTCCAGATGACTGGGATCCAGTGTTGCTGGAGTCGATCCAGGCTCACTGGCCTCTTTTCCTCTGTCGGTTGCTCCATCCCTCACATTCTGCTTCCCTCTGTGCCTCGATGCCGACCAGCCTACCTCCTGAGCATGCAACATCTTTTGGTGTTGCTTATTGTGCCATGCTGGAGGCATAAACCTACCTTCCATTTCCTTATAACTGCTGCTCACTGTATCATCCAGGGAAAAGGACCTGAACAGAGGCAGCTTGACAGCCCTTATTACCTGAGGCGACCTGAATGTGTTATCTTTAATCATAAACAGACTGGGTTTGGTTGCACTTGAAGTTGGCAGTGTTTGTGGCTCTTCAGGCTTGGGGATGGACATGTCCCTTACACTGCTGGCAGCAGAATCCACGTTGTCGGCCTCTTTGCTTTTCTCTCTCCTCAGTTTCTCTTTCATCAAGCTCCTCTCTTCATTCCCAGTAACCTTCCCCTCCCTCTTCTCTGCTGCACCAGTACCAGAGCTGATACAAGCATAATATTGCAGTTCATCTTCCTCAATCTCATCCCCTTTCTCATTGTGGCTATTCTTACTGTCTGTACCCATTTCATTCTTAGTCCTCTGGCTTTCTTGAAGGCATGCCTTCTGCATCAGGGGCACTGGTGGAAATGGCTCATCCTGAAGTGGCTGCTCTACCGTGGAGACAAAAGACTGCTCTGAAGAGCTAGTGCTTCTGCCTTGTGCTTCATGGTCAGGTACCACCATGTTGATTTGGGTGTCACTGTAAGGCACATCCTCTGCTGGTGAGAGTTGGTTTGGGAGTGTTTTGAAGGCAAGATTTTCATTCTGAATAGCAGCCTGTCTCACATTTTCCTCACCCTGGACACTGGGATTTTGCCCAGCTGTTGTGCCTGCATTGTCTCTACTGAATGGTTTCAGTGCTGGGTAGTGCAGGTGTTTTCTTAAATCAGGTTCATTGGATTCATGTCTGAACAAGGGGAAGTTTTCATTCTCCCTTGTGTTTTTAACCAGATCTTCACATGTTGAGTTGTCTTGATGCAAGTTATCTCTAGTTTGGTAAAATAAAAGATCCCCTGTTGTCTGGGGTGAACTCATAGTCAGGTAATTGTCTGTAAAGTGTCCAGTTAAATCAGTTTTATTGTCCTTTTCGTGTATGGAGGTTATATCACTCGATTCATCTTTGTCTGCAATATTCTTGCTACTTTTTTCTTGTGAAGTGGAGAATGAGGCATTTATTTTTGTACTTTCCTGGATATTCTCCCTCATTTTGTTTTTCTCCTCCAAGGCCCTTAACAGAGGAGAAGGGGTATAAATGCTTTTAACACGTTTACGCACATCCTTCAAATTGAATAACAGACTTGATGCTTTTGATTTGTAACTATCCCGAGACCTGTAATTGTCGAATGCGTTCCCCTCATGGTCTCTCAGTGCTGTGTTCTCAGTGGGAGGAGGTGTCAGTGGGATCAGCTCGCTTTCAACAGTGTCCACCTCCTGTTTTGGTGGTATGATCGGTGTTAAGAGTTCGGTGATGTTGAAAGGGGGACTGATCGATCCAGGGGAGTTTACCTGTCTGGGCAGAGGAGTCACCTCCAGACCAGGTTTGGCACCAGTTGCCTTTTCAGACAATGAGCATGTCTCATCACTGGCTGTAAACTTCTCGTTTGAAGTCTGTCTCCTCTCTGCTGCCCCTTTTGCAGCCCTCTGCCTCCTCCAGGGCGGACAGGTATTGCCCAACTCTGGACTGAGGTGCTCGCCTTCAGTTAAGGTGGCCAGAGGTCTTGGTGGAGGTGGGCTGGGTGCCTGGGACATAGGTGAAACCATCCTGTGGGACATGGACTGGGGTGAGATGGAGGCTGGGGATATGGCAGGGGGGGAAAGTTGAGCTGGCATTGGGGGTGGTGGCACAGGAGGCGCTTCAGGGCTAGGAGGTGTTGGGGGATGGCCCTGCTGGTTTGGAGGTGGAAGGTGTGGGACAGGTGGTGGCTGAGGGGGACCCCGGTGCACATGGATTCTAGGGGGGGGTGTAGGAGGAAGAGCAGCAGGAAATTCAGTTCCTGAAGGAAAGGGGTCCTGAGTTTCATATGCAGCTGGGAGAGGGATGCTGAAAGCAGCTTTTGGTGTTAGCTTCATCTGAAAATCTTTCTCTTGTTTCTTAGCAACAGTGGTCTTGACAGGTGGCAATTTATGTTCCTGTGTGCAGGATCCTTTAATAAATGGTACTTCTTCCAGGTACGTAAGACCTTCCTTTTTCATTTTTATATCAACAAATTCCTCCTTTTCGGCCAGTTTTTTATGATGAACTTTCCATGATTCAAAAGCACTATTCTCACTGTGAAGAAAATTACCTTTTTTTGCTGGCTCATTAACTTTCACACTTCTGTTTTTTAAAGCCTTTTTAGAAGAATGGGAAAAATTTGACTTGGCTATTTTTGACATCTCAATCAGCACAGGATAATAATCATCAGAACCACAATAACTCAGGTCTATTTTATTAGGTCTTTTCTGTGGCTCATGTCTGCTACTGAGAGAGTGGCTACCTTGACTAGCCTCAGAATATTCAGAAAGTTCCTTGTGGTTGCTTAAAATGCCTGTGTCATCCCAACAAGCCATATCATTTCCATGATTTAACTTACATTTTTGAAAGCTATTCTTAATGGGCTGCTTAACGGCTAACAGGGAACCCCCTGACCCTTGGTCTGCAGTCTTATTAAATGTCTTAATCAGTGAGGACACTTTTGAAGCATGTTTATTGTTCCTTGGACCAGGAACTGGTAAAGTCATTTTTTTCCTTTCCGTGGTAAAGCTGTTATTTTTAGCAACCTTTTTCTCCTCCTGAGCACACTTTGGTAACTGCTGGAATGTGGAAGCCCATATTGTATGTTCATTGTTTCTTGCTGTTAGCTTGTTACAGACATTGCTCTTGATGGCATGGTTTAATGTCCCTCGGTGAAGTTTAGCAGAGAACTGGAGGGCGAAGTCGGGTGAAATGGGAAGATCTGACTCACTGTAAGAGTCTTCTAGTTCTGCCACACACAAACTTTTGAAAGCCCGGTCTGTGAGGCTGCTCACTTCTCTGTCTGTTTCATCCAGGAGACTCCCAATACTTGAGGAGTCACTATGTCCTTCTGTATGTTTCTTATTTCCCTGCATTGTTCGTAGGAATCATGAATGAATTCTCCAAAGGATTAACTTCAGGCAGATGACTGTGTGGGGTGGTTCCAGCTGTTTCAGTTGTTAGCAATTCACACTCATGAAGTGATTTCTCCTGGTGCTGCTGTTGCACATTGATTCATCTTATGGAATAGCTGAAGGAAATTTTCTTCTCTGCAAAGCCAAAAAATATAAATAATCATTTTTCTATATTACCTCTATTAGACAGTGAGCATTTTCCAGATATATCAGTCACTGACTAATTTACTCCTACATGTATTCTAACCAGGATGCTAGCAATACAATGAAGAAAATAACATAAAAAATAATTGTTATATTTGACAATTCAAGTAGCTTATGGTAGCTCATGGTTTAATTTCTTGAAAGCACCATTAAAAAAGTGGTTTCACCTCAGGTTCTTTACTTGGGTTCTTAAAAAAGGATATAAGAACCAAATTTCAGTACTTCCCTTTCCAAACTTCCAACCATAAGGACTTCTGAGTGCTGTACATGTATTTAGCTTAGAAAGTTAGCTGCTTTTTGGGCAGGAAGAATTAATGATAAAAAGGGGGAAATTTACTTAAAAAAAGAATGCCACTTGGTACATCATTGCATACTATGTCCAAAATGAAAGAAAAGTTGGTAAAACTTACTTGGCAAGAAATCATAATTATAATTTAAAATATTTTGTGAAAAAATTATAGGAGATTATATCCTCACTCATTTATTAGCTCATGACTGTAGAAAATACAGTCTACAGAGATGAGCCTGCCTGTATTAGGCTGGAGCTTTGCTGTGATAGTTACCCTGAGCAGAGCCCTTGTTTCAGAAAGCGGAATGGCACCACATGTAAAGAGGACTTACTGTGCATTAGCAGGTTCCAAGCAAATATTGCTGGAGTAAAATCCTCTAGCCATTCATATTCAAATACAGTTGGGTTGGTACATTGGAACTGAAGAGGCTGCTAATATCAGCTTAGCCAGCAGAAGGCAGGAGTGCCTAGGGGACTCTAGCAGACCCACTAAAGGAGCTCAAGGAGCATTTGGTTTCAGTTCTAGAACTGCTGAGAGAAAATGGTAACCCATTCAACACAATTACAAAATATCACAGCCTTCCATTAAGCCCTGATCACGATGCAGTCAGGGCCTACAGCATGGTAGTTTTTGTCCAACTCCACATCAGTCTGAAGACAGGATGGTGGAATCTTTGGGTGGAACAAGTAAAAGCAAAACAGACCCTTCAGCTCTACTTGATATCTTGAATCCACGTAGAACTGAGCAATGAAATGCAGATCCAGACATCAACCGCTGCAGCTGCCCAAATCCATAATTCCAGAGGCTCAGCTCAGTGAGATTCTCGTAAAGTGCACATTTTTCTCTATGAGGAGTCAGTGCTGGTCAAAGTATGAAAAGTCAGAGGAACTGGGCTTAATCAGCTGGATTACTCAGGCTCAGTTCTTCAACTGAAAATAATCCTCACTTCCCTTTTCTATTGAAAAAAATCTCAGCTAACCTATTTTTAGACTCAAAGTATTGTAGTGAATCTTGATTCTGTCCTTCCAGCAACAGAATTCCAGTAACTTATGCAGAACTACAATAGATTTACATCAGAAATAAAATGAGCTTAATAGAGCTTCTCCATTTTACTTTGTACAAAGACTTTTCAAAAAGTAAGTTTCACTCCCCTCAGGGCACATATAGTTTTGTGTATAATGCAGCAAGAAAAAGAAAAAGAGAAGACAAATGAAAGTCCATCCTACTCTTGGTTTTGATACTTAACTGTCATATGAGCCAGAAGTATAGGTACATACCTGCTTGCAGTGTAACTTTGCTTCTCATATTTAGAACTCCCTCTCATGCTTGCACTTGGCTTCATTTCTAACCATCTTTAGTGAGGAGGTAGAAATAGTCCAGTGATGTATAGTCGACAGAAGTAGTGTCCTGGGATGTTTCCGACTCTCAGCATTTTTTGATCTTAAATGAACTCTGCAATTTGAAAACAAAGACATTTATTTGCATGACCTGAAGATTGTCTTGTGCTGTATTCATTCATTTACTTGTTCATTCACATTTCATAACCATTTTAGGAGTGACTTAAAGGATTTCTCACCAAAAGACACAGGTATCCACCCCAAAATTACAGTAATCAAATACCTTCAGGCCTTGGTAGCTTGTGGAGTGCAGTCAGCTTCCAAGCAAACAACTATAACAACCTCCAGCATTCTCTAGTAGCCCCAGCAGGGACTAACAGCTGAGTGAGCAATGGTTTCCTGGCAGTCTGCCCATTGCAAAGGCTGAGTGACGTCTCCAGGCTAAAACGAGGAGTTGTGCTAGATGAGTTCTTCCCTGCTGCTGTCTACACCCCTGCTATGCCACACTTTCACAGGGATTGCAGAAGAAAATGCATGCCTCTACTTCACCTGCATATGACTTCCTACTGCCAACAAGTATAGACAGACATCGGTCTGGTGGACTGGGAACTAACGCAGTTGAGGTTTGAAAGTTTATCCTTTTCACTGTTCCTGTTGTAAAGGGGAGGAAAGGTGGACATTTGGGATGGTGAGGGGCAGTAAACAAAACATCCAATTTGCTTCCATGCATGAACCACAGTCAGAAGATACTAAAGGAAAGCTCAGTTATGGCAAACATGCATTGCTGCTCTCTTTTTGCTGTGGAGACCCCCAAGGTTCAGACTAGTTTGCTTAACCTTTGCAAGAATATATCCATTTCCTACAAAGAGAGCTGCCTGACCCTAGGTAATGCAAATAGCACATAGATGTGCTTGGTACAGTAGACTTTTTCTGAAGCAAGGGTCTCCCTTAAGGCTTTTGTGTCAGTCCATGGTATTCAAAACACACTGGCAAAAGAGGCTCACCCACTGGTATGGTCTCCTACACTTTATCTGAGGAAGGACAGGTGCAGTGTTAGTTTAGGGACAAGTCTGTACAAGCTTTTTGTCGTTTGTTTAAAATGTCTAAATAAAAAAAATAAAGTAAATATAAATTAACACCCCCCCCCGCAATGTTTGGTTGCAGCCAGCTGTAAAATGTCACCCTCATCACAGAGATATGTACTCAGTTATCTCTTTGCTCAGAGGCTAAATTACAATTTTACTGCTTCTGTGGTACTGTGCAAAGCCAACACAGCGGTGGGAGACTGCGATTATGTTCTGGCTCACGCTTCAAAGGGGCTGTTGACTAAATTCCAGCAGCACAATGTTTATCACTATTGGTGGTGGTACCTGAACTAGGAAGAAGGCTGGCTTTCAGACCTCATAGACAGAGGTCTGAAGAAACATCTTGTCCCTTGTAAACTGAGAGCGCTTGCTGAAAATGTGAGTAGCGTAACAATAAACATGGAGATCATGATGTAATCTCAGCGATTATTTTCCTAGACGGAGTCACTGTTACAAAAACAACTTGGTGTCACAGATTAAAAAAAGAATAGCGACTGCCACTGTCTCTGAAACCCCTGTGAAGATCCTTGTCTTGCCTGGCCAATACTAGTACTTGGGCAGCGTAATGTTTCAAGCTGGAAAAGCTGTATCTAAACCAAGTGTTTGAGGTACAGATCACTAGTGGGACTGGATGTAAATAGCAGCACTGTACTGATCTAGCTCTCTCTTGTATAGGTGTGATGGCAAGTTCTGAACTTCAGGCAAAGCAGCTGTTCATGGCTGGTTTAGCAACCTGGTGAAGTCCCATTTCTTCACCTTTTTTGAACAAACACGGCAGCGAGCAAGCAAGGTGCAGTGTTTGAGCTTAGGTCAGGATTCAGTTGGTTCAAACATTTAAGGATGTCTGAATTTAGTATATTTTCAAGACAGAGGAAAGCAATGCTGGGTGGTTGGAACTGCTTGGGAAACACTGAGAAATATGTGAGGAGTTTGCAGCAGGCATCATCTGATACGAGCTACCAGAAAAGCTTGCATGAATGTACAGATTTCAAGGAGCTTAATCAGAAACCAACATCTCTTTTTTTAAATAGGAGGCTTTTTTCAGTGGCTCTCTTAAGTGCCTAGCAAGTTGTGATGAGGAGGTTGAATTACAGAGACTATTCCTGGCCTGGCACAGACTGAATGTCAACTTTTTTCACTAGTCAGGAGCTGGGCAAACCAGCGAACTTGGCTGGAGCGTGTGACATCACTGCTGTTGCAATATATAAAGGGCTGGTTGGTTTACCCACGCCCCTTGGGCTGGTATTTGGCTGAAATGTTGTGCCATGAGACATCGTGGTGGCATTTTGGCAGCGCCTTTGGGAGTTGTATAGCAATCTGAAGTCAGCAGCACTGCATTCCCCTTGAGAATGGGAAGAGAAGGGAGAAGGAAGGAAGGTTTATTATTATCTGTTTTTTTTTAATCTTTGCGAGCTGGCTACTTCATGTGGTGCTTTCTGTAAGCCATCCATCCACGGCTCCAAAACTCAGAGCCCTGTGGTGACTGCTAGCTGAGGTTTAATTCAGCGGCATACTTGCACACACGTTGCTGCTTTGGGCTTTTATGGGCTCATCATGACAATGAACAGTTAGTGCTTCTTACCACGGGAAATAGGAGAATCCCTGAATTTATGTCTTGTTTGCATTGGTGCACGTTTGTCCACGGCACACATAGAAGCTCATAATAGGATGAGAGGGCTGGACAAAACAGGCCTGTTCAGTTATGTGTCATCAGAACAAGACAATGCTCCCAGCTGATGGCAGCTCCTCACCAGCCTGGGCAGCGACGGCTGAGGAGGTCTCCTGGGTATCACTAGAAAATCCTGCGTGGCAGTATGTGAATGGCTATGAGTGTGCTGCTGTCAGTCAGTGATCACAGCACCACTGTCTTCACCGTGCATTTAGGAAAACAGACAAAAAGGTGTTGGGAAGTTAAAAGTCACCCTGTGAGTCCCTGTTAGAAACAAGGCACCAGAATGATGTCCAGGAGAAAAGAAAAACACTGCAATCTGGTGTAGAGTGCCTGAGCATCTCTTGTGCTGGGATGTTTGGACTGCCAAGGGTGTGTGAGAGGATCATATTGGGCTTCATTGGAGCCAAATGCTCTCTGATCTGCCCTGCTGCCTGGGCTGCTCTAGGCACACTGACTCTCTGGAGAGCCCTTGGGCACATGGATGGGGGAAGGATCATAACACCCTCACGAAGGAGGGGGGCTGCCTGACAGAAGAAACAGTGGTGCTCCGGCCACATTTCTCTGAGCTGTCAAGGAAGGCAACTTCTGGATTAAGAAGCTCATAAAATAAAAGTGATTAGCACAAACCTCCATTTCCCTTATCCAACAAGATCACTTCCATCTATGCTTTGTGGACATAAAGGACAGCCAAACTGAATTCTTCTGCTTGGGGAAAGGAGAATCACTTTGCTCAAATACAAATAGCTGCTCCAGCTGAAGGAGGGTGGATAATCGGATCTGTTCATCTTAGGGTGAAGATCCCAAACACTGACAGGAATGAGCAGCATAAAACAAAGTGACTTCAGCTCTTCCAGCATCAGATCTTTGATCATTGTACTGGAAAGCAAGGTGAAGGAACCATGTGTTTGAACTGAACCAGTGTAGACCAGGTCCATTCTCCTTGAGGGTTTGGCCCAGCAATTGTGTCTCGAACAGCTTGTTCTGGGCCAGAGAAGAGGAGACGCTGTTCTTGACTTTGGGCCAACTTCTGTTCTCAGTTACACTGGTATAAATCTAGAGTCATTTTATTGACGTCAGTAGAATAACTGAGAACAGAATTGGTGACTCTAAATACATCTACTTCCTAAGCCGACACTGGTGCATTATCCACAAGGCTACACAAGTAACTATAACCACAGTAAAGTGAAATCCAGCATCTCTGAAGAGCCAAACCTCACCCCCATATGGCATTCAGACCAACATCTGAAGGAATGGGATTTGAAACCGATACCGCATTGCTATGCCACCAAATTGTGTTGTCTGGACAATTCTGATTTTCTAACCTCTGTCACTCACCACCGACAATAGCAGTGCATTTGAGATAAAGTAGTTTTGCTCTTTCCTGCAATATTAACTAGAATACCTAGACCTGGTGTGGTAGACACTGTGCAGTCCTAGAAAATGCCAGGAGAGCTGGCTGCCAATCTGTGTTGCCATCCTGTGGACAATATATCTTAGAAATGTATGTGTGTGTGTGTGTGAGGGGAGGATGTTCTCATTTAGACTGTTTTTGAAATTTCACATGGAATAAAGATTCTGAAGAGAAATTAAATTATAAATAGAAGTAACATGTAACATATACCATAATAGTTAAAATTATGTCACTGAAAATAGTTACTGTCCTTAAGTCAGAGAGGGTGCATGCTGTTTAACATTAACTGAAACTTTCACTTTTATTTTCTATGTAAAAAAACAATCTTGTGGTATTGCAAAGGAGAGTGATCTTGTTTTGAAATTTTCCTAAGTATTATATAAAAATATGTATGTGTATATATATATATAACATTTTCAATTATCTTTCTAGGGGAAATGTTAAAACGAATATGATTGTGATTTTATTTAATCAAACAAGATTTTCTTTTTTTTTTTTCTGAAGAAAAGACAGATGATGTCTTTTTCTCCCCATGAGCACTACTGAAGCTAGTACATCTGTTGCCATAGGAGCTGAACCCAGGGACTCATCAGACTCACATCTTGAGGAAGATCAGTGCAGCTTGGTGGAAGCATGAAAGAAAGGAGAGTGTGTACCTACCTAATGACCATGTGTTATATATTCTGCACTGTGTCCTGTCCTCAAAGGATGTGAACCTCTTCCAGGCTCCAGCTGGAATGCTTACCTCTTCAGCTCAGAACATAAAGCTCCAAGCAATGGGAGATGAAGACCTCATGTGAAGAAAAATGGGAGGAACAGAGACTGCTTGTGATACCTGCGGAGAATCATGTCAAGTCTCTCTACCTTTCCCTTTCTGGTTCAATGGCAAAAACACAACAGTTATTTCCAACTGGTCTCTGGACTGCCTTTCCCAGTGTCCTCCAAATGCCCCATCCTGCCAAGAGGCCTATCAAGCGTGGAAGAAGGAGATAGCTCTCAGAAAGAGTTGTATCTGAACTGAGGCTTTCTTGAAACTCCTGTTCACCCCTTCCATTACCTGAGCCCTATCCACTGCCTTTGAAGAGTCAGTAACATGCAGACATGATGGCAGAAGTCAAAGGCACAGAGCACATGACCAACACAGGCAAGGGGCAGGTGCAGCACTTGACAAACAGCACAAGTCTATAGGAATCACAAGGCCCAGGGATGGTGCTCCTCCCATGACCTGGAGTCAGCACAGACAAGTGACATTTAAGCAACTGAACCCAAACAGTGCATTTCTTGGCATTAAATGTCTGACTGTAAAAGGCCAGTCAGTAACTAGGTTAGTGATTATACATTGAGATATTTATACAGCTCTCCAGTAACACAGTACGTGAGCACCTCGTGGCTATTTATCCTCACAAACTTCCCACTGCAAGCAGGACTTCTGTCTCGCAGATCAACAGCTAAGGCTCAGCTTCAACCGACTGATTTGCCCAAGATACTGCATTTGTGGCAGGGCCAGAAACCAAATCTGTATTTTTTGAATCACACACTACAGGTTTAATCTTTGTCAGTTAAAGCAAAAATGTGCCTTCCCATTGCCCTTCATAGGGTGTGGTACTTTACCATGAGCCTCTGCAAAAAAACCCAAACCACTTCAACTGAATATGGTGCTGTAGCTTGGCATTGCAGTGAAAAGTGTAATCTATCCAGTTTTGCAGGTGACTGACTTACTGCAAAGATCTCAGCTCTGCCTCAAGTGCTCGATATCTCTGTCTCTTTGAGATCATGAGGACTCAAGCCTTCCTCACTAGTTCAAGGTGATGACTGACATTTGCATTGCTACAGCCCCCTCAGTGAGCGTTAACAGGATTTTGGCTTACGAGACTGCCTTTCATCTCCTTTCATTTAGTCTTAAGCAAAGCTTAGAGGATGAAAGCTTCTGAGTTTTCACTTCCTGAGTGGGAGAAACAAGGTTTTCCCACAGCAGAGGGAGAGTTGTAAAGTACCACAGCATTGCAATGGCTAGAGATGGGAGATGACAAAAGGGGAAGGGAAGAAGGACACATGGACAAGAAAACAAATGTAATGGCTTGCATGCTTTGTAAAGGAGAATGCTGGACAGTCCCAGCCTGTCACAGGAAAATTGTAATGATACCAGCAAGTATGTTAGACACAAAAGGGAAGCAGGCTTACCTACACAAGGAAATCTGCAGCTAGTAACAAACCATGCCTCACTTCTCTTTCCAGGCTGGGGAATCTGAAACCATTCCCCGCTTACACTGCTCTTCTCATCAGGCCCAGCACACTGATACCATCTGCACTGTCAAGTTTACACTCAGACCATTTAAGCTTCTTAATAAGGAGAGTCTGATCCATACCCACTCACACAGGATACAGACTCAGGAAATAACAGGCTTGCAGAAAACAAGTATTATTCTTTTACTGGTAGTCTCACTTGTTCCTTTCCTTTTTATCCTCTGGGTACCAGGGTTTGGACAACGATTTTGCTGAATCCTTTTTCTATAAAGAAAAGAATTCAAGCCATTTCCATATGCTGGGTTCAAAATAATTTCAACTTCTGAGTGGTTTTCTCACCCACTGAATTCCATGGCATTTAGGGACATGCAATATCCTAAAATACCTGTCTTATGTTACCAAAGACGAATAGGGATATGTACCATAGGGGACAAGAGAAGGTGGAGGCTTTGGTTTTCAGTTTCTGGCTCAGGCTGCAGGAATAGAGCTATTTCTTACTTATACCTTTCTAGAGTGCTTTCAAGTGCAGTTAGAAGATCCCAGTTCTAGAGCAAGCAGTGTGGCAGGGAGGGAAATACACACATACGCCAAAGCATATGACTCAAGCACACAGCCATTCATTCACGTAACATCTTTCCTCTGATGACAAACTGCTCCTCAGCCATTTGTGATTATAACAGAGCCATTTCAGTTGAAGGACAAAAGCTGTGGCTTGCTTTACTCCTGCTTGCTATCTGGAAGGTAGCCATGGAAGAGATATCTCTCCTATGTGAGGACTTTTAGAGGTCAGGGGAGAGCCCACCTACCCTTACTGCAGGTATTACCTTTGGAGGCCATACTATTTTTCTCCTTTTGAGTAGCAAATGCCAGACAGTGGTCTTGTCCTGAGCAAGAAGGAAGTTCCTTCCAGTTCCCTCTTCACTGTGCAAAAGGAGTTGTGGTTGGTTTTGTTTTGTTTTTTTTTTCTCTTTGGGAAATGCAAACTCCCTCTTCCTATTCAGAGATTGATTCATTGTTATGATTTAATGGTGTGTCCCCAAGGCAATTCCTCATTCCTTTAGAGTTAACGCACATGCTAAGGCATTTCTTGTGCTTATTCTGTAAAGGATGTACGCAAAAGACAGAAAGGAAAATACAAGAGTTTTAAGCAGAATCGACACTTGTTCCCTAAGGGACAGGCCAATGATTCGGGCTGAAGCAGTCCCTCAGCAACCTTGGTAATGCTGTTATCCCAGCGCTTTCCCAGACCACCCAGACCCCCTGAAGAACCATGTGGGTAGGCAATAGCATCATCTGCAGCCCAGTGCTGTCACCAGACACTTCCTCCCCAGCTCCTCTCCTCAGTTCTCCTCCACACCCCAAGAAGCAATTCTAGATACTTGTCTGTATTTCACTCAATTCACAAGCCTGGTTAAAGAATAATTTCTCATTTTTGGAGAAACAGACTAATCTAATGTCACTACTTCAAAACAGATCAGTCAAAACAAAGAGTTTCAGTGAACAACCTCATCATGATCAGCCCCACTGCCCTAGCACAAACCCTGGATGCGGCTTGCAAGGTCCAGTTCACTCTGAGCATGCTGTTGATTCTGCACCAACATCCCAGACAGACCTAGGCACTTACTCCAATTTCTGAAAGCCCTGTGCTCTGAAGCATGAAAAGGACAGGGACAGACCTGAAATACATCTCAACACAATAGAAGCCATCAGAAGTGCACAGAATTGTACAAGGGTCTATAATGAAGCTGACAGAAAAGCCAAGCTGACCTTAAAGTATGCCAGCTTATGTCTGATCCAGGTAAAAGTGATAGAGGCACATCTGAGACTGAGGATCTGCAGTAACTGTAAATTACCAGATACTTCACATTTGCTGACTCTGCATATTAACATGTAGCCAAACGTTAACTGCATTCATTTCTTTGAGAGACTTAAAAAAAAATTGCAGGGGTTTTCACCTCTATCTTTTCCAAGTGGAAAGTATGAGTTAGGTGGCCTTCATGTACCTGACTGTCACAGCCCTATCACAGTTCCCCAAACAGCCTCAGACACAATGTGTAAGCAACAGGGAAAGTGTCCCTGAAACTACTGGGACGTAGCTGTGTGAGTGACTGAAAAAACATATGTATCATTATTTGACCTGCTTGACTCATAAAAAGATTGGTTTGACTGTTACCAGATGATAGATTTAGATTAATCATTATTGGCTAATGCCTTCTTGTATACCATTATTTGCAAGCATGAGAAATGGATGTTAAAAAAGCCTAGGACTATAATTAAATACCTGTTTTCTATGCCTGTCCAAAGAGGATCATTTGGCAGGAGAACACAAGGGAGAGGGAAGCCTTTCTTCTGGGGAAACGTTGTCCTCTTACGGCTTTAATGCTACCTCAGTTTCTCTTGGACTGCTAAGGGACAGGGTTTCTTGATGGCAGCCTCTCTGACCATATACACTTGAAAGCCATAAAAATCAGTCAACCACTAATATAGTTGCAAAACACCAAGCTCAAAACACACACACAATATATATACATGTATACACCTTTAAATATATATGTATAAGCAATCACCTTTAAATATATATGTATAAGCAATCACTGACCCAGACAGGCTTGATTGGAGAGAGAGACAGCCTTTTCTCAAGGGTAAAGTTCCCATATCAGTGCACACATGGAGTCCGCACTATGGTCCATTTCCCCACACACCTGTCAGCTGGCTTACAAACCACTGGTCCCAAATGCAACCCTACCTCAAGCAATGCACACTAGCTCTAAAAGCAGTGGACTCACCCGCTTGCTTATAGTAGGCAAGTCTCTGTGTGACCTGGCACCCCGGCTGCAAGCAGGCCAGCACAGCAAAGCCTGCAGCTAAACTCCACTTGCAGAATTTGCCTCTGACAGCAGCTTTTTGTGTGTGTAAACTCAGCTAGAGTAAAAAATGAAAGACTGATATGCAGATGGTATTTTCTCCCAGCATGGCTCACAGGGTTAGTTGGCTTTTTTCCTGGTCCTGGAGGGATTTACATTTTCATGGGCACTTTGCACAGCTCTAGTAACACACACACAGACAAGATAAACATTTCAGAGAAGCATATAGGAATGAGAGGCTACAGAGTGAAATTTCCATATGCTTTTGGTTTACGGAGCAGGGGTGCAATTGCACCTGCGTACCTCCACCCAGCTGTGGCCTTCAAGTTCACTGGTGAGTGCCTGTTACAACTGTTTTTGTAAGTAAGTTGTGAATAAGCATGTAAATACCTTCCTAGTGACAAACTTGGAAGGATGCAGAGATTTAATTTGTTTAGGGTTCCACTATACTGCAAATCTTTAATTTGTTAGTATTTTCCACAGGCCTTATCCTTCAACCATTTGCTTTTTACACGATCAGTTCCCTAAAGAAGTGAATGAAAAGAGCCATGGACTGTGATCCTGTCTGGAAAGCTTGTTTCTCCTTATTTCTTCTCAGTTTTCCTTCTCCCCAGCCTCCCCCTCAGCAATGGCAGAGGACTAGTGATGAACCCTCTAACTGATACTTTGCAAAGTCAGTGTGAACTGATTGCTCTGGCCGGCTGCTGGAAAACTTTTCCCTATTCAGATATAATCAGATTGCCTGTTCACAGCCCATTTAAAAAAGCTTAAGCAGTTTGGCTTTTCAAGTTCAATTTTAATTAATTCTGTTCTTATTTTGCTGCTGAGCTCTGCAGCTAGGCTAATAAAATGCAGCTCTTTGGGATGGCAGATTAAGAAGTTCTGCAACAACTGGACTCAGAAAAGCTTATGCCATTTAAGAAATTTCCCAGTGATTAAAATTGGATACAAGTCATAGTCACAGTCATTTATAGTGGCCTCTTAGCACTGCGTAGGTATTTGAACTATTTTACTTTTTCAAGCTCTGTAGCATACTAATTGCTCTCTATAAAATATTTAAGCAATTCTTTTCCTATTTGTTGGAAAAAAAGAAAGAAGAAATAAAAATGCCTTCAAACCCTTATAGAAACCATTAAAGTTTTTAAGAGTACCTTATCTGTAGGCAGTAACCATCTAGAAAATAAAATCAATGTATATTTACTTAAAGTTGCTTACAGCACAATGCACAGGACAATTAAATGGAGCTTCGCAACAATTTACTGGTCTTTTGAAAAGATTATACCCATTTACCAAATAATTATGTCATAAACAGTAACCACTGCATACAAATCTATATGTATGCTCTTTCTGCATGCAGGCTTTCAGAGACAATCCTGCATTTTTCAGAGCAGAAAAAAGCTGGACAAAGTGAAAGGACTTTCCTGCTCTAATAATTGAAAATAAGACATAAATGATGTTTGATTTCTCTTATCTCATCAATTACACAACTGATCCTTGAGTGCACACGCATTCACACACTCAGGCACCACCATTCTTCACCATTTCCCTACTTCAAAAACACCCACTCACTTTTCCCCTTACCTTCTGTGCTCCAGCTTCCTGGTCAGGGACAGTGCAGCGCTGCTCTTTTTTCCCTTGAGTCAAAGCCCCAACACATTTTACAGCAGCCTGCTTACTATTAGCACTTCCCATTATTTATGTGTTTCGGACTCTCCTTCTGAACATGGTTACCTTAATAGAAACAACCCCGAAAAATAAATAAAACAACAAAAGTGGAGGAGCTAACCCTTGAGCCCTCGCAGACCTGTCCAGCCAGGTGAAGTAAGCAAGGAATCCAAAGTTACTAAAATGTATTTAAATAGTTATCAGGCAAGGGGAAACCAAGCGGAGATCATGGTGGGGAAGAGGCAAACATACGTATTGGAATAACCATGCGGTGTCAAGTAACAAGACAGATGAAACAAACAGTCATCAGCTATTTTTACATTCAGATTCGCCATTGGTAATGCTTCAGAGATAACTAATACAGAAAGCAATGCTGTGTGATTGGCTTGCTACTGCTGGTGATTCAAACCTTAAAGCGCTGCATTTTTGTATCTACAGGTGGGAGTCAAAGTGCTTTTAAGGTAACCATTAAAAATACTGTGTAAAAAGTATGAATGAGTAACACATTACTGTCCTGCTGGTGCTTTTTCATAAATAGCCCATTTCATCATCAAGGCTGGACAAATGTGCCCAGCGCTCTTGGAGTAAGGGCCCCATTCCACTGTCCTTCCAAAGCAAACAAGAGCAGCCATCATCCTGGGAGACACATGCTAGCATTGGGTTTCATTTGGCGAACTACAATAGGATGTTGAATAATAGGGGTAATATGCCATGAAGTCAACAAGCTAAGATTTTGTACTGCAAATATAAACAATGGATTGCACCCTGTCCCATGCTGAGTGCACAGAGCTCCTTAATGAAGTCATGGGGCTCTCTTGGGGCTTAGCATCACGCCAGGCTTGAGCCACAGACTGCAGCAAAGAGCTGAATCTCCTTGCTATTACAGCCCAACTCTTGCTTCCATGGCAGAGCAGGGCTCCAATGAGCCCAGTGAACATTTGCATGTTAAAAAGAGCTGCTAATTATATTGCTACAGCATGAATAAGGCAACAACCATTCAGTGAGCTGGTGCCTGAGAATCTTCAAGCATGAGCAGGCTTGTGATGAACTAATCCTCCCTGTGACCCAAGAGCAGCCTAAAGTTACATGTCCTTGGAGGTAATGGCTTGCCCTCTCCAAAGCAATCTTCAGCTTTGAATTCGCCACCTGGGAGAGGTCACCTTAGGTCCCAGCAGGAAGGTTTTTGCAAAGCCCAGTCTCCTAAACTCCTGGTCTGGGCTTTTGGTGCTCAAGTCCTTCCCCTAATTCATCTCAAACTGAATGTTGGTCTTGCCAATCATCAGAGTGCTTCTGCTAAGTTCTGGTCCCAGACTGTACACTTTCAACATCTACCCATGCCCTGCACCCATGAGACTGCACACACAAAGACTTGATGCATCAGGAGTCATGGCACCTATGAACTGAGACACTGGACAGACCTAGCACACACTGGGAGAAAAAAAAACAACACATCAACTTTGGGATAAAAACAGACAGTGGAAGAGCAGTTTTCAGGTACTCACTGCCACCAATGTAGGCAAAACTGTCTGTATATGTGTGTCTGTCTCTCCCACACATTTCTAAAGAGGGGTGGAATGTATTTCTGGAATACTTGTGCTAAAAATAAACCTATCCTTGCTGTCTATGAAGAGAGGCAGGTATAGCCCTGCTTTCTGTAAGCCCATGAACTTGTGAACTGCTTAGAGCCTGAATTGCAACTAGAAAGATCCCTATGGAAATTGTAACTACTGATGCAGGAGGGGTGGCTGGTTGCTTGGAAAATCCAAAGCAGGCCTCTCACACAAAAGCAGCTGGGGTTAACGCTATTCATCAATGATGAATGTGCTTGACAGACTCCAGCTTTGAAAGGACTCAAATCTTGGGATAGGCATTATGTTTATTCAAATATGATGATAATAAATACACATATTTGCAAATTCAGCGTTCAGATGAGACTCTGGGATCAGATGGCCTGTCATTAAAATAAAGCCACTTCTGGGGAAAATTACTGAATAACACTCAGCAAACACAACCCAGTGGCACTTAGATGTTGTTACCCTGCTCCCAGGAAATTTAAAAAGCAAAAATTCCTGCTGCTTCCTTTCAGTGAGTGCAGAGCAATAACAGATCACACTGAACTTTTGTAGACAGCAATTTGGACTGGAATCCTAAATTTATATGAAACGAGTATGCGATTTGCATAAATATGTCAATGCAGAATTAATATATGTATGTATAATGAACTTCCTCTTGCACACACACATGAAACTTTGCTTAGCAAGGCTGAGAGTACAGACATGACAGCCTTATGCAAGAGCAGTAGTTTTCAGCCTTTTCTGACTTGTATCCCATCCCTTAACACTTTCTCCAGGGAAATAAATGGAGTTCTGCCCTACTGAGAGGGGCAGTTTTTTTCCTTTGTTACCTTAGCTGCAAATCCCAGAGAAGCAGTATGCAGACCCCAAGGGGTCAATGGACTGATCACATGTGAAAAGTCCCTGGTACATGGAAACCAAAAAGCGGAACTGATTATAAACAGAAATGAAAACATGCCACCCTAGACTAGCAAAAGGCAAACATCAAACTGTTTTGGTTGTAGAAAGTAAATGGTTTATAATTCTCATGGCATTAAAAAGCAAGGGGCCTGTTTAATAACCCATGAGAGCAATATGACTATATTGAGTTTTCAGTTGTTTACAGCACTTTTTGTCCAGCAGAGCAATGTAGGTTCAGCTCTTACCTGGCAGCCACACACAGAATAATTTGTTGACTGTCATCACAGTCAGTGCAATAACTTGATCTCTGGGTATTCGACAGATGAGTGCAGAGTATCAGCTGGACAAAGCAAACCCAGAGTCATATGAGCTGAACAAAAGCAGTGAACCAGGACTAAAACATGTCCCACAGCAGGACAACACCTTTATCTGCTCTGCATGTTTATCCCCACACTTGCAGGTAGATCCTGCTGTGCTCCACCTGAAGTCTCACAAGGTGCATTTCTCTGGGGGTGTTTCTAGCACCTGCATGTCTGCTCCAGTGTGTGCCCAGGAATGCAGTAGCAATACAGTGCTAAGCAAGGAATCATAGTGCAAATGAGATGCTGCTCCACCTGCCTCCTTGGGACAACCCAAGCTCCCCCCCCCCCAGCTTGTTTTCCAGCAAGAGGACTTCACCTCCATGGTGAAGGAGGTGCTTCTTGTTCCTTCTTCCTCTTGCAGTCTTTGCATTTCCTACCTAGCTGAACAAAGAGAATGACTGTAAATGGGTTGAGGTCTCCAGTTTTGCATTCTCCTTTAGGAGGCACTGGACATCTTGAGCATCTGCATATTTTCTATTAAATGTGAAAGCATCACTCCTTCCTCCTGCAGCTGCATTTTGTGCAAAAGCTCTGGTCACACCTAACCCCCTTCCTTGTCTCCAGGAAGCAGCAGAGACCTGAGGGTCCTAAGGGAGGAATATGTCTCAGTATTGCTACAGTTATTTTCTCACCCAAGGGGGAACAAGATCAAGGCTGTATTTTTTGCTCAGCATCTCCTGTTAGCCAACACAGGCCATGCTGCACCTAGTATCAGGGGAAATGACAAGCAGATCTCTGTCATATTCCTCTCTGCCTGTATCGTCTTCTTGGTCCAGTCCCTTACACAGCTGGATTTGAAGCAGCTTCAAACCCATCTAAGTAGATGTAGGCGAGGACAGAAAGGTCTCCAGCACCTGAGAACCAGTAGCAGTTTTGCAGCTTATTCCCTTGGGGACATTTCTCCACCTTGCAGGAAAGGCTCCTCATCCACCCCTAGTGCGGAATTTGTGCAGCGAGAATGGTGCAGGACTCATTCATAGCCTCTCTCCAGGGCTATGCCTTAGGAACCAAAACTTGTTAGTAGCTGTGATTTATCAGTCACAACTCCAGGGATTCAGAGCTCTGAGAAAGAAAGAAATTCTAATTCTTGAAGTCCTTGGAGATTTCTCTACTTGTCATTATTGCAGCTTTGAATGAAGCCTGGCAAAGGAAAAATCCCCTGCAAAAGGAAGCTCTGGAAAAAATTTCAGCATGGTCCAAGCAAAAAGAAATATTTTCTTGATTTCACCTTTCAGAATTTTATAATATGTTGTTTAATATAATACAATATAAAAATTATTTTCATCCTGCCTTCAGAAAGAAGTAAAAGATACTATTTTTCAACAACAAAAAAAATGCTATGTTTCTTCTCTGAAATCAGATTTCTCATGAAACCAACACACTTTACTAGATTTCAACTTTGACTGCGTTCGTGACCACTGGCAGATTGGCTCCACCATGCTTTTGTCCATCTGTGAATACAACCTTAAATTCCATTTTAAAAGAATTTCTACAGCCTGGTGTGCTCTCCCTGCTGCTGTCCCATCAATACCACCCAAACTCAGCTGACTCAGAGATGACTCGTTTGGCTTCCAGCCCCAAACGTTCATCATAAAACTGGGAGGTGCCTGGCTGTGGCACCAGGCTGGGGCTTAGCAGCTCTCATGGCTTTTAGAGACTAGGAGTCTAAAGACCCAGCCTCAGTGACATTTTTGGCAAGGATGTCAGTCACAACCCCATCCTACTTATTTCCCCCAAATCAAACTGTCTCTTCAGTCAGGAACTAAGTCTTGTTATTGCCAGTAAGACAGCTGCCTCACATACATTGGTCATATCTGCAGGACCCCCAGAAGATACTTTTGTGTAATTGCTTGTTTGACTATTAAGCATTCTGCTAAGAGCAGAAGACATGTGGCAGAGTGGCTAAATTGTTCTTCTCTACCCAGGCCAATTTTTCAAAGGGGTTGCACTACTAAAATAGCAAAACCCCACATTAGGTACCTATCTGCCCTCTGACCATCAATTTACCTTTGAAATCTTTCCCTTCCCATCAGGAAATGTCAATGAAATCAGCAGGAACTGACAGGACTTTGCCATTTACAAAAGTTCAGCCTTTCTGCAGACATGCAGTGAATCGGTCTTTCAACTAAAGATTAAATGAACACACTTGTGACAGGTCAGATGAGGGAAAAAGTCCCTGTAAATAGTCTTAGTGATCTAAAAATTAGTTCTCTTTAAAAACAGTATGTTGAAGTCAGTGATATTTAAAGATATTAAGACAAATGCATTAGATATTTTATAAACACAGATATAATCCATCTAATTTAAGAAAAGAGGCTGGAGGAATGTGGAGTTACTGGCCTAGTGTAAATATTTCCTATGTACAAGTCACAAAGCGAAAACCAGAGACCACAGGCTAATTAAAATAGCTGGACTGCAATGATGGGAAGCATAAGGTCCTATTTTTAGGGGATCGTTTGAGAGCAGCTACAAGTCTGGTCAACCCAGAGGTGTCACATGGCTGCTCTCAGAGTCCTGGCAATGTATCACCCCAGCACAGAC